CCTTCTCTCTCTCTTTCTCTCTCTATTGCCCTCTCTCTCTCTCTCTCCCAACCGATCGAGGCAGATGGCCGCCCCCCTCCTCTGGTTCTGCTCCAGGTTTCTGCCCGTTAAAGGCAGTTTTTCCTTCCCTGTGTCTCCTAGTGCTGCTCTTGGTGGGAATTGTTGTTCTTCTGTAAATAACTCCAGGGTCCGGTCTGAGCTTCTCTGTTTGGAAAGCTTGGAGATAACTTCTGTTGTGATGTGGCGCAATAGAAATAAAATTGAATCGAATTTGAATTAACCGCCGCCTCCAGCTGTTCAACGGCGACTTCGTGGACCGCGGCTCTTTCTCCCTGGAGGTCATCCTCACCCTGTTCGGCTTCAAGCTGCTCTACCCCGACAACTTCCACCTGCTGAGAGGTGAGCCCCGCGGCCCCCTGGTCGCCCCCCCCCCCCCGGCCAAGGCCGAGGCCTGACGGCTCCCGTCTCCCCAGGTAACCACGAGACGGACAACATGAACCAGATGTACGGCTTCGAGGGGGAGGTCAAGGCCAAGTACACGGCCCAGATGTTCCAGCTGTTCAGCGAGGTCTTCCAGTGGCTTCCCCTGGCCCAGTGCATCAACAGCAAAGTGCTGGTGAGACGGGGGCCGGGTCGGGTCTCCTAAAACGAGGGTTGTCAAAAGTGTTGATACTCAAAAAAGCGTTGATACTAAAACGTTGTATCCGGATACCGTACTCATTTTCAAAAGTATCGATACCAAACACCCCCCTTCTCTCTGATTTATTTATACATTTACGTTGTTTATGATCATTAACAAGACGTTAGCCTTGAATTGCTAGCTGTGGCTAATGGATAATAATAACACGCCAACACTAATACACGATGACATCAGTAACAGGTCAGTTTGAAACCAAGGACACTAACCTGTCCAAATTCAGTTAAATGTGGGGGTCTTTGTTTTGATCCTTGTGGTATCGAAAATGGTATCCAATATTTTCCTGAGTATCGAGTTGAAAAATGTTAGTATCATGACAACACGACCTGAAACGCAACACGACAACATGACAATCTGCTGCAGTCTGTCAGAAATAAGAGGCAGAATGCTTACACCTGTGGTCCCCCTGCCCCCCCCCCCCCCCCCCCCCCCTCAGGTTATGCACGGGGGCCTGTTCAGCGAAGACGGCGTGACACTGGACGACCTTAGGAAGATCGAGAGGAACAGACAACCTCCAGACTCAGGTAGGGTCCAAGGGTCAAAGCAGCAGATTCACCAGGGTCTCAAGATAAAGTAATAATTAATGATCTGGATTTGGGATGTCCCAAATACACCGATCGTGTGGGATCGGACATAAAAAAAAAAAAAAATGGATCTGGAGTCTGGATCTGCATTTTCTCCTGCCAGCCAATCCAGATATCAGATCGGGACAAGCCTAGTTCAGACTATTAAGTTGTTATCAGAGTAAATCCCTGTTCAACATGAGTCTGACAACTAAGTAAGTAGAATAAATAACTTTAAATTCTAACACATGCAAAAAGCAGGATCGGGACGTCCCTAGTTAGGACACAGACCTGTGGGTTAGCAGATGCTAATGCTAATGCTTGTTTGGGATCAGAGTTAAAAAAAGACTGGATCTGGCGTCTGCATCTGCATTTTCTCCTGCCGGCCAATACCATTTTTTTTGCAAATATCGGCGGCCGATCCGATCCAGATATCGGATCGGGACCAGCCTAGTCCGGATAAAGGGGGACAGGTCCGTGTTGACACTCTGCTGCTCCCTCACAGGTCCCATGTGCGACCTTCTCTGGTCAGACCCGCAGCCACAGGTGAGTCGCCCCCCCCCTCCCCCTTCAGATTTGGACCAAACGGTCCGTAGGTAACCTTCTCCTGGTCCGGTTCAGAACGGCCGGTCGGTCAGCAAGCGAGGCGTGAGCTGCCAGTTCGGCCCGGACGTGACGGAGCGCTTCCTGGAGCAGAACAAGCTGGACTACATAGTGCGGAGCCACGAGGTCAAATCCGAGGGCTACGAGGTCACTCACTCAGGGAAGTGCATCACCGTCTTCTCAGCGCCCAACTACTGGTACGACAACTCCCCGGGGCCGGGTTTATTCCAGTGGAAACGAATGTTTGTGTTCGTTAGCTGTAACTCTGCGTCTGTGTGCTGTTGTGGCTTCTTCCAGTGATCAGATGGGAAACAAAGGAGCGTACATCCACCTCAGGGGATCCGACCTCAAGCCAGAATTTCACCAGTTCACTGCTGTGGTATTTGCCCCCTCTTTTCTTTTGGGATGGGTCACACGGGTCCATTGTTCCCACAGAGTTCGGTTCAGATTTGGTTCGGCATAACGGCAACACCTGCTGGACGTAAGCCGGAACTGCCGTCCTCTCAGGGTTTCGTTTGTTTTAAAGGAGACATATTATACCCTATTTCAACAAGTTAAACTAGTTCCCTGGTGTCCTAATGTAATGTCTGTGACAAGTTTTGGTCAAAATCCCATAAGGATGAAGCCCAATAGCAGTTCAGTCCCCCTGCCAAAACAGCCCCGTTCAGAGCGCTCGCTTTGGAGTGCCTGTCTCTTTAAATGCAAATGAGACACAGGCAA